GATTGAAAGTCTTTCCTGAAGAAATGAGGGACACTGTGGTTTAAATTTAATATAGGTTGGCCTAAAACAAACAGACTGCCAGATACTTTGCCAGCAAAGAAGGGTTTATTCGGGATCAGCAGAGACTTGCAATTCGGAGGCAAGTCCCCACAGGGCAGAGGAAGGAGAGGAAAAGGAAGCTGGGAGGGCTGTAGTCAACAAAGAGTCCATGGCTTCTCGCTAGTAGAATCCTTGCCAGGAAAGAAAAGGAGCCTTATGCATGTTGGGCTCGGCTATGGTCACAGGGAGTGAGAGCTCCCCCTTCTGGTCTCCCAACTCCATTTAACGGAGGTTTCTGTTCACTAAGTTTTTACATAGATTTATTATAAAATTTTAAAAATCAGGCAATTATGCAATAATATACATACAAGAATATCTTTATATCACTGCAGAACCAAAAGCATGGTGAACAACCAGCAAATGGAAATTTGTGAGATAAATTATGGTGCACTCATACAATGAGAGGCTACAAGACCATTAAAATGGTGATACGGGTTCACATTTACTGAAATGAATGATGTTTGGGAAGTGAGGACAGACTTCAGACTGGTTTGCATAAAATGCCTATTAAAGAGGAAAAAATACGTACAAAGAAAAATGTCTGGAAGAACACCATGTTGGTGTGTCTGTCACTGGGTGCTAGGATTATAGGAGATTTGTTTTCCTTTTTTTATCTGCATTTGAAGTTTGCTACATTTAAAATTTATTTGCAGAATACAATGAAATATAGAAATTTTCTAGTGCAAAATCTCCAATTTATGAAAATAATTAGCCTTCGTTTTAATATATAAAAAGCTCTCAAAGTGTAGATCTTTGGTAAAGTGAACAAAAAATCTACATGTCTATTAAAATATTTTATTTTCGGTGCCCCACATTTCCACCAAGATCTATTTACATTTTTTTATTAATAATTGAAAGGGATATTAACATTTCATTTCACCTGTGGCAATCTGGAAAGATTTATCAGGTGCAGAGTCAGCGTTCTGTCCAGGTTTCCTTATTAAGGCAGTAAAAGGCTCCAGTCTTTCACCCAACAAATCAAGAAAAGGATGCATGTGACCCTAGGCAAGTATTTACACTGCTTCAATTCTAGCCCATGATCAAACCAAATGGATCTGCTCTAGAAAGTATCCCAAACAACATCTATTATTTCAAAGGAAAGATCAAAGAGCATTCAGAATTCTAATTCAGAGCCCTCCACTGGAATCAATAAGATAAAGAAAAGATTGCCACGGTGAAAGGCTAGTATTCCCAGCCAAGGCCGCGGCCAAGAGATGCCTCGAGGATATGGAGAAATCTTCCCCGTACATCAAAACAATTCAGCCAGCCAGCCGAGGCCGGCGTGCTCTTCTGTTAGCGCTCTAGGGTTATCTGCACTTGCTTGAGCAGTTCGAACCTCGCGCACAGCAAGGCACATCTCCACACATCAGGAGAGGCGCTACCGTTTACACTCCAGGTCTGCCTTCCTTTGGAAAAAGGGGATTAACTTCTCATTTCACCGCAGCATCAGCTGGAGATGTTTGGACAGCTAAGCTGCAGTAGCAGCAGTGCTCATTGGGCTCTAACTGCTTTGGCTATTAAAAAAAAAAAAAAAGGCAGTCAGATCCTCCTCTCTGGAAAGACTGTCTTTTCTGGGCAGAAAATATTCCCTTACATTTCCTCCACGCTCAGAACATGGGGCCCTCTCCCTTAGGGCTCAACCAGGATCAAGTCTGGGCTGCCCGTAGGCAGGTATGCAGAGGTTCATGGGGTCACCCGCACTTGGGTTGCTAGGGCAGGGCAGCTGTGTGTCCCTCTCAGACGTGGCCATCGTCCTCTGAGATGAACACTGTCCTCCCCACTTTAATGAAGCAGCCGTCTAGCCCCACTCAGCACAGACAAGTCTGAATTACAGACTTTGAGGTACCAGAGCTGCAAAACACAGTATCATCCCCAGCATAAATGTTCTCAGGCAAAAGAAATCCCTAAATCGTAGTCTCAGCATGTCAGCCACTCTGGTCGTCCAAATGACAAGCAAATGTTTTTCCTGAAAAGAAATCGGAGCTGGAAACACCTAGTAGGTCATCCAGTTCATTTCCCAGACGGAGCAGAATTGTTTACTTCCCTAATTCCATTTTGTTACCAATTACCTTTTTAAAATGCAAAATAACCTCCTGCTTTGATGTTCTATTAGGTCCAAACATTCATGGTGTGTGTTTTGTGAGGCTGTGCAGATTTCAAATTACACAACTCCATTTGTATAGAAGATTTTGTGGCTTTTTTTCTAAACATACTATCCATAATCACCTAACTATTCAAAAGCTGGACGAAAGCAGATGTTGGCAGATGCAGTCATAAGTCACATTTTAGTTCTGAATACGACCATGTAATTCTCCTACATGTACCAAAGGTTCTCTTTTTAAGCATCTACATTTTAATAGGAATTCCATCTTACACATAGCCATATGCCAATTATATTTAATACAGCTGAGCAATAAAGTTCAAAGTTTTAATAACTAAGGAAAAAAGCACTAAAGAATTTACCTAAAATAAAATGAAGATTTAACAGTAACAATACTTTAAACATAAACCAGCATCATTTAAATGAAATACACAGAATCTATAATTTTTATGTTCTTTTCATCTCTCTTTAATCATTTCTACATGCCTCCCCCACCTTGTTTTTGGCTTTGAAAGCAATATAGTAGAATTTTCATGAACATATAAAGAGATTAAAGTGATGCCTACGAGAGACAGTAAGAGCTAAGAGACAAAGGCCTAATCCATGTAATTGGAAAC